ACTTTTGCAGGAAAAAAAATGGTCCAGTTTTCTACTTTTCCTGATTTTCTTTTGAAAGGAACATTAAGCAACTTCAGGATGTTAGGAAAGCCCTAAGATCATGGAGAGGGGGCTTGCCTGATCAACTTTATCTGGGTACGGGCACCTGGGTGGCTCAGTCCTTAAGCATCTGCCTTTGGCTGGGGTCGTGATCCCAGGGTCCTGGGATCGAGCCCCACATTGGGCTCCCTGCTTCGCGGGAAGCCTGCTTCTCCCTCTCCCACTCCCCCTGCTTGTGTGCTCTCTCTCTGTCAAAATAAATAAATACAATCTTAAAAAAAAACCCCAAACACAACTTTATCTGAGTAAAAGATCTAGTGAGTGTTAAGAGTTGCTCCCAGGGCCCTCATCGCCTCAAAAGCCCGCCACTGGCTTGGAGAAAGTTTCCCACTGAAAAAGATAAGACAACCCCCTCACAGCAGCAGAGATTTTACCCCTTTGCTTTTTCCATAGAAATTGCTGAATTTGTCTGGAGGCCACTGGGACTGAGTCAGTAACTGAGATTAGAGCTGTTTTCCACAGCCCTTTCTTAGGCAGGTGGGGCTTTGGGACAGATTAGCGAAGGTGTTGTGGAGAGCTTGTGGCTGCCTCCCGTGGGCCCACGGGAACCCTGTGGAGGTGAGGCAAACCAGGGAGACATTTGCGACTGACATTAGAGCAGGAGTCCCACCGTCCTTCACTTCAATGCAGAAAAGTAACAAGAAAAAGCTTTTGCTGGATAATTTTCATTTCAACTATTCACGCAATTTTCCCGGATCTTGAGCATTCTTTGCTCTCAGCGTGACCTTCTGCCCTTCAATTTTAGACGTGCTTAGGAAGCAAAATGAAACCCCTGCATGGGGACTGGAGGATTCTCTGTACCTCTGGAGCCAGGTGAGTTTAGAGAGGGAGGCGGCAGCTGAAGTTCCCAGTTATGCCAAGAGAGCCCGTGCTCTAAAAGGAGAAGCAGATAATGTATTTCCAAAACACAAGTCATACCTCTGTGTGACAGTGAAAAGAGAGGGGCTGAGAGAAGAGCTTCCCTCAGCCAGGCAGGCTACAGAATCTGTGGGACTCAGGGCAAAAAGAAAGTGCGAGCCCCTTGGTCAAAACACAGGAAAAAAATTCTGTTAAAGGTACATATAAAGCCAGACACAAAAGGACAAATAGCAGGCAGCTGGGTGGCTCAGTCGGTTAAGCGTCTGCCTTCGGCTCAGGTCATGATCTCCGGGTCCTGGGATCGAGCCCCGCATCGGGCTCACGTGCTCTCTCTTGCTCGCTCGCAAAAATAAATAAAATCTTAAAAAAAAAAAAAAAAAGGACAAACAGTGATTCCACTTATATAGGGTCCTGAAAATAGTCAAATTCATAGAAAGCGAAAGTAGAAGGGTGGTTGCCAGGGGCTGGGAGGTTGGGGGATGGGAGGTATCGTTTAATGGGTAGAGTTTCAGTTTGGGAAGATGAAAAAATTCTGGAGATGGATAGTGGGAATGTTTGCACAACGATTTGAAGGTACTTAATGACACTGAACTTTACACTCAAAAATGGTTAAAATGGTAAATTTTATGTTATATATATTTTACAACCCCCCCCCCACATACACAGACAGGAATACATGAGTTTTTTCCTTCTTTCGAGGTCTCTCTCTCGACTTGTCTTGGTGTTATTTTATTTGCTATCTAATATTGTTCTAAGCAAAGAAAAATTAATCTCAAATTTTTAGCATGAATTTTGCCCTTTATATTGTGCAATGCTAGTTTTTTTTTTAGGATTTTATTTATGTATTTGACAGAGAGAGCGAGGGGCGGGAGGGAGAGAGCACAAGCAGGGGGAGCGGCAGGCAGAGGGAGAGAGAGAAGCAGGCTCCCCGCAGAGCAGGGAGCCCGATGCGGAACTCGATCCCAGGACCCTGGGACCATGACTTGAGCTGAAGGCGAATGCTCAACCGACTACGAGCCACACAGGGGCCCCAAGTGCAATGCTAGTTTTAAATTAAAATATCATAGTATTTAACTTGTATTTGAAATCACTGAAATTACACAATTCAAATTTTGTGGCTCCCAGAGTGTATGTACCTCACGCTGGCTAGAAGAGACAAATGCAAGCCAGGCTCAGGAAAGGTGGAAGGAGGAAGCAAAGATGGCCCGGGCTCAGAGCCCGTAGAAAGAGTCAGCCAGGGCCTGGGACTTCACAGATGCCTGAGGAGGGTACATCTTGGGCCTGACAGCTGCCGGGTCCCCCTTCCCACAGGCCTACCCCTCCAGCCCACAACAAACAGGCTGCTCCCAGGTATCGTCAAAATTCAGAACTGGGAAGCACTCAGTACAGGGGTGAGCTTCTTGGCTGCGGTCAGCGGCCCACCTCAAGCACTGTGGTGCTGCCAGCCAGGGGTGGGCATGGCCACCGCCTCGCCGGACTCCACGGGGTGCATGCGCCCGACACCGACCTGCCAAAAGCAGAGGGCATGGTGGCAGGGGAGGGGTTGGGGAGAGAACGGGAGGTCAGGTAGGGGAGTGACAGAGAACCCATCCAGGGAGGCCGCAGAGGTTGACGCTGGGTCCCATTGCTCCATGAGACCTCACAGGACACAAACTCAAAGGTAAAACTATTAAGAATTCCAAGACCGGGCGCCTGGGTGGCTCAGTTGGTTAAGCGACTGCCTTCGGCTCAGGTCATGATCCTGGAGTCCCGGGATCGAGTCCCGCATCGGGCTCCCTGCCTGGCGGGGAGTCTGCTTCTCCCTCTGACCCTCCCCACTCTCATGTGCTCTCTCTCTCTCTCTCTCTCTCATTCTCTCTCTCAAATAAATAAATAAATAATCTTTAAAAAAAATTAAAAAAAAAAAAAAAGAATTCCAAGACCAAGATTTAATGCAACCACAGTGCATTAAATCGCAAGTGCAGGGTCTTGTTCAACTGCACTGGTCACATGTCCATGAGCCAGCCATGTTCCTCAAGCAAAAGAGAAGACGGGATTTGGCTGGAGTCTTCTTTGTAAGATCTCCTCATCCTTAAGAAAGCCTAAATCTAGAAAGTGCTTACGGCAGAGGGGGCTGAGGCAGCCTTTCTCCACTTCCCTGGGCTCGCTTTCCTCGCTTGCCAACAGACTTCAGCTGGGCCCTGTCCTTTTCGCCCTCTCCCTCCCTGCTCACTGTTGGGATCTGCCAACTGTTGTCTGGTCTACAGTCTTAACCGAGCTAGGAAATACTGGACCGAAGTTCCTAGAATCCATCCATTTCAGCGCTGAGTGCGTGGTTTCCCAAGTTACTTCTGTAGGCCCAGGGCTGCCATGCAGGACGACGGGCAGCACGGGAGACCCTCCAAAGCCGGTTGGCTCCTGCTGGCCTGGGGGCGTGGGGGCTGGGGCACAGGCCGCTGTCTGGCCCTCTGGGCAACTGCCACCTTTGGAGGGTTGAGGAAGCCACGCCTTTCTCTGACTCTGTTCCCTAAATTCTTACAACTGCAGACTGTGGGCAATATCCTTTGTCTTTGTAGTGGCCTCAAGTTGTGTCTGGGAGAGTGGGGGTTTTTCTTGGACTAAGTGTTGCCTTGAGCCTCGTCTGGATCACGTTGCAGAGTTATGCTCCATCCGGCTCTGTTTGTAAAGCGTACTCTTGTTTCAAGTGTCTTTGGGGAATTTTCAACTCTGGAGGGCCCCTCTCTGCATCCCACACTGGGAAGAAACCGCGCACCCGCTTTCCTAGCAACTCTCTGCCCATCAGCTGGTCTTCCCTTGGGCCCCGGAGGTCCTGTTCCCGGGAAGGCAGGCAGGCAGGGGACACACCAGCAGCATCCCTCCGCCCTCTTCTCTGGTGCTGGTAAGAAGGCATTTTCTCTTGAGCCGAGGGACAATCGGGCCGGCCTCCGAGCGGAGTCCAGCTCAGCCCCATCCAGTCTACCTGGCAAAGGGGCTGGGCTGAGGGAGAAAGCCTGTGATCTGAGCAAAGGCAGCTGTCAGGGGAGCAGGGAGGCTGACAGCCTGGGCTTGGTCCTGGGAAGCACAGCAGGCCTGGGTGGGCCCCGCAGAGGAGCCCCCGGGCAGTGGCCACGACCTTCACTGGGAGGCCAGAGCACCACCCTGTGATTTTGCAGATCCTCTTCTTCCTCTCTCTTCCCATGCCAGCCCTTTCTGAGCCTTAGCAGGCCTCAGCTGGGAGTTCTTCTGTGTGTGTTTAAATGTCTCAGTCAAGAGTGAAGACTGGATCTGTGTGTGACTAAGACCTTTTCTGATGTTAAGTATCTGTGAGGAGCTTTGAAGGGAAAGCAACCAGTCCCCTGCCCAACCCCCTTTTCAGATGACTAAGTCATGACCCTTTTTAACAAGACTTCAAAGAAACCTCATCAAAGATAACATTTATATTGAATAAAACAGTACAACAGTTTTCCCCTTTTTACTGTAAAGCTTGAAATGACACACGAGCGCCTCATTTCAGCTCTCTGGCAAACAAAGCATAGTGAACCACAGCGAAGGAGTGGTTATTGCAAGACAAACCTTCCCTCCCCCTCCCACCTTTTTTTTTTTTTTGGACCTTGGTGGACCCTAAGCTGAATTTCTGACATTAGGCATGGTTTTTCAAGGGCTCAGGTCATTAGGCAATCAGAAAACACCAGCTCATCTTGATCATCTCTGCCACAAATTGTCATCCGAGAAGGCACAGTCGCGGTGTGGTGGAATAGCTCGCGGGACGTGGGGCTCACAAAGTCTGGGTTTTGCCCTGTGTTTGCCCTGCCTCTGCACAGCCAGAGGCCCCGGGTGAGACATTTAACTTCTTAGGAAGCTGTTTCCCCTTGTATGAATGGGGATATTAAATCCCCTATATCTCACAAAACTGTTTTAAGTACGTAAAAATGTATGAAAAATACTTACTCTGTGCTTGATAAACAATATACTCTCGATATACGTGTGCTGGGTTGTAATCATTGGTGGTGTTTTCTGCAGCACTCCCCGCCCCCCATACCAATTTAATAAAACAAAGGTAAAGGTAACATTTTAAAAATTGCTGTATTCAAAATTAATAATAAACTTTAGGGTAAATAAGCTTTAAAACAAAAGTACATAAGCAAAAATAAATAATTTACACCGACCCACTAACCTAATTTTCAGAGTAAAGCCATTTTCAATTACAGCACTGTTATCCCGGGCTCCAGCCTGTGGTCAAACTTTGATAGTTCATTATTTTTAAAAAACAGTAACAAAAAATTGAACGCTAAGTAAAATCTTTAACAAAACCAAAGCACTGGATTTAACTTTTTAATTTTAAATAACCAAACTTTGTCATTTTATACATAATCCAATGTCATGGATCCAATTCAATATAATTAGCATCTCAGCTTGAAGAGGTGGTATTTTAACAGGGATGGAAAACTATAATGAATAGTCTTCAAACCGTGAGGTACAAATAAAAACATACAAGTATACAGTAGAACAAAAACTGCAGACACTCTATTAACTTGGGGAAATATTCGAAGGCTTTACATCCTTTATTATCCACGATGGCTTTTGGAATTGATTGTTTGAAGTATAGAACCTTTGCCGTTTTAGATACAGCCTTTATTTTATCTTTTCACAGTAAGTTAAAAATCCATCATAAGACTCCACTGATCTTGCATGTAGACGCTAGGAGTTTGCAAACTGATAAAAGAGTAACGTGAAAATTAACTGTATTGCCCTAATTTCATACATCCTTGTACACAATGAATCCGTTTGGGAATCTATTCCAAGGGTTATATACACAAAAGTGTCAAGAATAAACTGTTCTCCACTCTTGCATAAAAATGTGTACAATATGTCAGGAATGGAAACATTCTAATTTTCCTGGGCCCGGGCTCATGGATGTCTGCTGCCTGAAGATTTGAAAGGCTCCTTCTGATGTAGTGCCCCACTGTTTCGAGGATTAATCATCCAACCCTGGCGTTTCTCCTTGTTGGATCCTAGATGCTATTCTGATGGCTTCTTCCAGAGATGGCTGTTCTCCAAGCTGAAACAGGAATAAACACAAAGGCATACCAAAGAGAATACCAAAGAAATAGTATATGCCAGAAGTAAAATTTTTTTTAAGAGTTTTATTTATTTATTTGACAGAGAGAGAGAGAGAGCACAAGCAGGGGGAGCTGCAGGCAGACAGAGAGGGAGCAGCAGGCTCCCCGCTGGGCAGAGAGCCGGATGTGGGGCTCGATCCCAGGACCCTGGAATCATGGCCTGAGCTGAAGGCAGAGGCTTAACTGACTGAGCCACCCAGGTGCCCCCCAGAAGTAAAATTTCTCTCTGTAATTCTGACAGCTGGACTTAAGATACTACCGCTGATCCAATCATAAATGCATAAAAAAAATCCTTGCAGGAGTATAATATATTTTCTTTCTTTAGGATTTTGATAAACCTTCACTCGGGCAACAGACAAAAGATGCTCATCTTTTCCAATGGAGGCACTGAGAGAGCATCCTGAGCCATTAGCTTCCATGCCCATAAACTAAATTAAAACCAATGGTTGGCATTTTCCTAAATGTGTTCTCTTTTCCAAGTAAATACATGAAAAACAACTCTTCCCAAGGAAAAATAATCTGCACCTAGCATTCTAGACTCTCTGCTTCAATCCAGTGACTTCCCTGAGAATAGTCTTTTCTGTCTTCTGATGTTCCCCCAACATAAAACACAGCTGTGCAGGGATTCTCAGGGGGACTAACTTAGGGTCTCTGTTTACACTAGGTTCATTTGCAAGGAATAGCTCTTAAGTGCTTTCTAGAATCCTACCTAATGAGACTTATTTTGAAAGTAAAGATGGCTGGCTGGGGGCATGCTGGGATGTTTACCAGAAGCTTTTCTTTTTCTTGCTATAAATTCCCCTAGGGGGACGTGGGTGACTCGGTCCTCAAGGGTCTGCCTTCGGCTCAGGTCATGATCCCGGGGTCCTGGGATCGAGCCCCGCGTCGGGCTCCCTGCTCGGCGGGAAGCCTGCTTCTCCCTCTCCCACTCCCCCTGCTTGTGTTCCCTCTCTTGCTGTGTCTCTCTCTGTCAAATGAATAAATAAAATCTATAAATAAATAAATAAATTCCCCTAAAACAAGCAAAGCCAATAGAGAACAAAGTGCCAGTCTCTTTGAGTCCCCCGCGAACAGCAGTTGTCTTCAAGGAGCTAAGTGCCATCGATTATTCTGTGCGTGGCCTCCTGTGAAGGTTGTGAATGAAGGACAGCGCACAAGGCCGAGAGCCGTGAAGGAGTCCGGCCATCACCGCACTCACCTGAACTGCGATCTGGGTGCCGTTGGATGTGGCCACTAGGGTCAGAGGCCTGGTTTCTGTGGTTACTAAGTGATGGCTGTGCTGCTGGTGCCCCATGTCTGATGAGGCAGCATGGAATGCTGCCAGGTCCTGAGCCACAATTGCAACCTTCAACCAAAAGTACACACAAGGAAAGCTATGATTAAGTACATCAAACTCCACTGAATGCGAGGGACTGTCTTCGGATCTGAAAGGAGAAACTCCCTTTTGACCACAGACTTGTAGAAGCCTAGAGCTGGAGGAGAACTTATATATTGTCTATTCTAGACTCTTCTTCTTCTTTTACGATTTATTTATTTATTTTATATAGAGAGTGTGAGCAGGGGGAGGAGCAGAGGGAGAGGCAGAGAATCTCCAGCAGACTCCCCGCTGAGCGTGGAGCCCCACACAGGGCTCGATCCCACGACCCTGGGATCATGACATGAGCCGAAATCAAGAGTCGGACGTTCACCCGGACTGAGCCATGCAGGCGGCCCTGGACTCTTCTTTTTTACTTGAAGAAGCTGAGGCTCAGAAAGAAGGGACTTATCCAAGCTTAGTGAACCAATGACATAACAGGTTAGAGGACACCGGACAAGGGGATCTGCTACACCAGGCTCCACTAACCAGGGGAGACGTGACTGTGCCTATAGGTTCTATTACTCTAAGTGGCTGCTTGGAAGGTTACACATGTGGACTAATTCATATCTCAACGGCCTATTTACTCCTGAGTGGGGATAAATGGTAGGTAATATACTATTTTCTCCTATTTACCTGTTGCATTTAAAATTAGATTTCCATTTCAGTAGGAAAACTGAAAGGGCTGGGGATTGACTGGAGGGGGTCACAAAGGAACTTTCTGGGGTGACAGAAATGTTCTATATCTTGTTTGGGATGGTGGTTATATGGGTGTACATATTTAACAACTCTCTGAATTGTAAGTTTAAGATCTGTACGTTTCATTGTATGTAAATTTTACCTCAATTAAGAAAAAACAGATTGTGAGCTGATATGAAAAACTGCGTTAGTGGTCAGACAAATGATAATAAAAACAGAATTCAACTTTTGCTTGTCAATTATGCAAATATAAAAAAAATCCTCAATACTAGCAAGAAGAGTACAGAAAAACACGGAAGCTTTTAGATCCACGGCATAATTGTTAAAACTTTTTGGATAACAATTTGGCAGTATGTAGCAAACAGCTTAAAATACTTTATACCGGGGCGCCTGGGTGGCTCAGTTGGTTAAGCGACTGCCTTCGGCTCGGGTCATGATCCCGGAGTCCTGGGATCGAGTCCCGCATCGGGCTCCCGGCTCAGCGGGGAGCCTGCTTCTCCTTCTGACCCTATCCCCTCTCATGCTGTTTCACTCTCTCTCTCTCTCTCAAATAAATAAAATCTTTAAAAAAAAAAATACTTTATACCGTTAATTCAATAATTCCATGTCTAGAATTTGTTCCTATGAATATAATCAGAAGCTTGTACAACAATTTATGTATGTGGAATGAGTAAGTTCCATTTGATGGATTACTTTACAAATGATAAAAATCCTTTTATAAGAACACTTAATTAAGGTATGAGAAAGTGCTCAGAATATAGTGTTAGATGATAAGCACAAAATTATAATCCTAACTCTACACACCACACATACATACACACACACAAAGTAAGTAGTCCTAAATGTTGAGACTAGTTATTTCAACATCAAAAGAGTATAGCAGGTTTTTAAAAAGATGTTATTTTTAAGTAATCTCTAAACCCAATGTGGGGCTCGAAATCACAACCTTGAGATTAAGAGTCACTGACTGAACCTGTCAGGCGCCCCGATTATAGCAGATTTTTAGTTTGAGTCTCTATTTTTAATTCTTTTGGATATATCGCTGCAAGCGGAATTATGGGATCATATGTAATTCTATGTTCAACTTCTTTTAAGTAGGCTCTATGCCCAACATGGGGCTTGAACTCATGACCCCAAGATCAAGAGTCACACACTCTACCAACTGAGCCAGCCAGGCGCCCCGCTATGTTCAACTTTTTTTGTTAAAGATTTTATTTATTTTAGAGAGAGATAGAAAGTGCGAGCAGGGGGAGGGGCAGAGGGAGAGGGAGAATTCCAAGCAGACTCTACGCCCAGCACAGAGCCCGACATGGGGCTCGATCTCACAACCCTGAGATCACAACCTGAACCAAAACCAAGAGTCAGACACTTAACCAACTGAGCCATTCAGGTGCCCCTATGTTCAACTTTTTGAGGAACTGCTATACTGTTTTCCACAGTACTTGCACCATTTTCCATTCCAATGAGCAATGCACCAGAGTTCCAATTTTTCTGCATCCTCGGCAACACTTGTTACTGTCTGTCTTTTGGATAATAGCCTAACCTCATGGGGGTGAAGTGGTATGTCAGTGTGGTTTTGATTTGTATCTCCCTGATGACTAATGATGTTGAACATCTTTTCACGTGCTATCTGGCCATCTCTAAATCTTGTTGGAGAAATGTCTATTCAAGTCCTTTGTTCTTGCTCAAACTGGGTTGCTTGGTTTTTTTTGTTGCTGAGTTATAGGAAGTTTTTATCTATTCTAAGCATTCATCCCTTATCACATATATAATTTGCAAATATTTCCTCTCATTATGTAGATTGTCTTTTCACTCTCCTGGTCCTGGCCTTTGAGGCACAAAGTTTTTAATTTAATTTTTTATTTTATTTTGTTTTTTTTTCTTTCCAAATTTTTAAATTCTAGTTAGTGAACAAAGTTTTTAATTTTGAACAAGTTTAATTTCTTTCTTTCTTTCATTGCCTCTGCTTTTGGTATCATACATAAGAAATAATTCCCTAATCTGGGTCATGAAGATTTTCATCTATATTTTCTTCTAAGCATTATACAGATTTAGCTCTTAAATTTAGGTCTTTAATACATTTTGAGTTAATTTTTATATATGGTATAAGGTAAAGGTCCAACTTCATTCCTTCTCATGTGGATATAGTTTTCCCAGCACCATTTGTTTAAAGGACCATCCTTTCCCACTGAATGGTCAAATTTTAATTGTTGAAATTTAACTGACTATATATGTGAGGGTTTGTTTTTAGACTTTCTATTCTATTACACTGGGAATATACATTACTTTCGTAATCTCAAATTAAAATAGATGGAGAGCACAGACTCTTCTTTATACACCTGCTAACTAGGCTTCCAGAGGCACCTGGAAAACGGGGTCTACGAAATCCAATTACCTTAACAACGAGAAAAAGGCCAGTGAAGGACCAATTGCTTTCTTCTCATGCATGTGAAGAACTAGGCAATTTAAGCATTACAGATAATTCACAGGTGGTGTCTGGACACCCCAAGTGGATAGCCAACATTTGCCCGATGGCCTACAGTTGCAGAAGAAGGAGCAATGGCAGCATCTGGTCCTCAAATGAAACCCCCACTCCTGTTGTAATATCCCTGGTTGCTGGAAGCTGCCTGGCTTCATTCCAGCCCTCAAAACGGTCTCTCCTGAAAATTTTCCTATACCCCAGGCTACAGATAAACTAAACTAAAAAAGAATGTTTGCCTTAGGGTCACTATCCTTCCAGACCTGCAACTGTAACTGGCATAAGGTGTATTTACCCAAGCTGTGCCATGCACCCATCCAGGGATCCTACAGCCACGGAAATGACTGGGACCACCCTGTAAGACAGCCTGAAAGCTAGAGGTTGGGTTTTGCTTTTGTTTCTGTTTTTGCATAGAGTATAATTAACAAACAATAAAACTCCACAAATCTTTAGGTGTTCTGTTGAGTTCTGACAGTTAGATACATCTGTGGAACCACCACCTAAAACAAAATAGAGAACAGTTCCTTCATGTTCCATCCCATCAGTTTCCTTCCCCCAGTCAAGCAGCATTTTCTGATTTCTATCACCATGGACTTGTTTTGTCTGTTCCTGGATTCCGTGTAAGTGAAATCATACAGTACATATTCTAGTGGAATTGCTTGGTCATGGGATATAAGAAACCACCAAACAGTTCTTCAAAGTGGTTATATCATTTTACACTCCCACTAGTGTGTACGAATGTTCTAGTTGCTTCATATCTTTACCAAATGTTGTTAGTCTTTTCTGTTTTAGTAATTTTCCTGTGTCTGAAATGGTGGTATCTCATTGTGATTTTAACTTGCCTTTGTTTAATAACTACAGATTTGAGCACTTTTTTATGTTATTGGCCATTCTTGTATCTTCTTTTGTGAGAGGTCTTTTCAAATGAGCAGTCAAATGATTTGCACATTTAAAAAAAATTGTATTTATTTTACTCATTTTTAATGGGCTATTTGTCTTTTTACTGTTGATTTGTAGAAGTTTGTTATATATTTTCAATACAAATCCAGTGTCAGATATATATAGTGTGAATATATTTTTCCCAGTCTGAGGCTTATCTAATCTTTTTCTTAATGGTGTCTTTTGGTGAGCAGAATTAATTTTCATGAAGTCCAATTTATCATTTTTTTTCTTTTACTGGTAGTGCATTTTTTATCCTAAGAAATCTTTACCCTAAGGTTACAAAAATACTCACTTTTCTTCCAGAAGCTTTATGATTCTGAATTTTGTATTTCAAGGTGTAAAGACTTCCAACTTTGTTCTTTTTTCAAGGTTGTTTTATTTATCATAGGTTCTTTCATTTTCATGTAAATTTTAAAATGAGATTATGTAGTATCTTCAAAAGAACCTGCTGGAATTTTGATTGTGATGGTATGGAATTTATAAATGAATTTATGAAGAATGTGAGCTACTAATTTTGACAGACTCTTTCATTGAACATGGTAAAGTAGCTGTAGTGAATCTCAACATTGCTTTCAGCATAGCACAAGAACAATTGTTAAAATGTATTAATATCATGTATTTTAAGGGAAATGAAAAATTAAAACTACAAAGAGATACATCAGATTGGCAAAAATTTAAAAGTTTGATACCACTATGTTGACTCTACAGAAGGGAAAGAGGAGGTCTCGAATGCTGCTGATGGTCATGTGGATGGGCACGGCCCTAGAAGGGAAGCTTGGCGCTACTTATCACAATTACAAATGCACTCTAGGATCTGCCTAGCAGACTGACTCTCACACGTGCAAAAGCACATGACCACAAGGTTACATGCTGTTTGAAACAGCAAAAGTCTTTAATTACGGTGTTCATACAGTGAAATATCATATAGTTGCTCTCTATATAATGAAACAGAAATATTTTTTAGATGTATAATTAAGTTAAAAAAAAAAACAAGGTGAAGAACAGTATTGTTTACTACCATAAGAAAAAAAGGAAGGGGGGAAGATGACTATTTGTATTTGTTTGTATATGCTTCATGAATTGCTGGAAGATTACGCAAGAAACTAGTAACAATGGATTCTCTCTGCGGGGGGCAAGAACTAGGTTGATGGAGGCAGGGGTAGGAGGAAGACTTTTCACTGCATACCTGTATATACTTTTTGATTTCTGAACTACGTGAATATATTACATATTCAAAATCTTAAATAAAGAAAATTTCGCAAATGAACTATTCCTAACTATCTGATGATGATCATAGGAGGGGCTACCATTAATGGGCTTTATATTAAGTACTTTATATGCATTATCTCATTCAATCCTTTTGTCAACCTTATGGTGTGGATGCAACCATCACTGCTATTTTACAGAGGAGGAGAAACAGGCTCAGAGGGTTGTGTGGCTAATGCTATAAAGCTGGGATTCAGTCCAAAGTTTGTGTGCTTACCACCACCATATCACCCTGCGTATCTATGTAACGGTTATGATACTGGTATGTGTGCTGATTCATATAAAAAGAAAACAGCAATTACCTGCTGTCCTTCTGTGCCCTCTGCCGTAACCATAGCAACAGAGTGGGTTCCTCCTGAGGAGATGACCGCATCATGAGCCGGGACTGTGATGGGCGTGCCATCCTGCGTTACCATTGTGATGGTATTGCCAATGGCTTGCATGTCAGCCTGAGATATGTTGACCTGCAATACAACGCATTTTACAAATCAGTCTGTTTCTTGTTGTATTTGGCAATTTTTTTTAAAAATTTTTTTAAGTAATCTCTACACTCAACGTGCGGCTTGAACTCACAACCCCGAGATCAAGAGTCACATGTTCCACTGACTGAGCCCAACAGGCACCCCAAAACTGACTGTTTCTTAAACGCATTTCTTCCTCTCCATCTCTACTGCCAATTTAGACCCTTATTTTCCTCTCGTCTGACTTCCTGCAATACAACTTCTTTCTAGGTATCCAATCTAACCCTTACCTAAACCATCCTCTACCTTGACACTTTTTTTTTTTAAGACTTTATTTATTGAGAGAGAGAGAGTGAGCGAGAGAGAGCACAAGCAGGGTGAAGGGCAGAGGGAGAAGCAGATTCCCCGCAGAGCAGGGAGCCTGATGTCGGACTTAATCCCAGGACTCCAGGACCACGACCTGAGCCGACGGCAGATGCCTAACCAACTGAACCACCCAGCACCCTACCTTGACACCTTTTTATGCACCCAGCACCCATTATGCTCCCTGCTTACATCACCAGTGACCCCCCATCACTAGAGTTCAGACTTTTTACATGGCATTTGTGACCTTTCGCAATCTGGCTTTAACAGCTTCTCCAGACTCATCTTCTACTACTTCTAAACCAGCATCTGGCACTCCCAGCCACAACTAATCGTTCGCAGTTCCAGAATGTCATATTCTGTTATATCTTCGTGACTTTTCCCTTCCCTTCACTCTGCCTACCAAACTCATGAAAATTCTTCAAGATCCAACTAAATGGCCACTCTCCGTGGCTCAGTCGGTTAAGTGTCTGACTTCAGCTCAGGTTATGATCTCTGGGTCCTGGGATCAGCCCCACATTGGGCTCCCTGTTCCGCAGGGAGTCTGCTTCACCCTCTCCCTCTGCCCCTCCCCCACTCATGCTCTCTCTCAAATAAATAAATGGCCACTCTCTATAAGGGTTTCTAAGATTCCTTCAGGAAGAATCATTTACTCCTTCCTCCAGGCTGACACCGCACTTTACATATCCCTCAATTATATACCCATCATTATAAGAAGTTATTGTTCATTTAGGAATATCTCCCTCCTACTAGACTATGATACCCACCCCCACTTTCTGTATTCCCCACACTAAGCCTACCAAAATATCTGGCATTGGGTAGAATTCAGTAACTCTTTATTATTTAATTGACTAAAGGAATGGAAGAGAAATCTAATCCCTGAAGGAAAAAGGAATGTTACATCTGGAGAAAATACATCAGGATAAGGGAAATAGCTGTTCTGGAACACATGAAGGGGGATGAGGCTCATTTTATCTGGTCAGAGAAGAGCCAGGAGTGGTTGACATAGCAGTAGGCTCCAGTCTGATAAACAACAGAATTATCCAACAATGGAACAGGCTGCCTCTTACGAAAGAAACTGCCTTATCTGTCTGGGGGCTGCTGTGGCGGGAAATCCTCCTGTATCAGGAGGGAGGGAGGTTACATCGCATGACTTCAAGAGGGTCTGTGTCTGTGTTGATCTAATTCAAAAAAACGTCTTAGGCTTGATGCTAAATTAAAACTGCCTTAGTAAATATGTTTAATCTTGCATGGCAATCAGTGGACAAAGAATACTGTGAGGAAGTAGTGCTGTGAGGGGGAAGGGAATGAACTGGATAGTACCAGCACCTTGAAATTGCCAATCCCAAATGTGTTGTGTCTCCTAATTAACACCAGCACAGTAACAGTTATCAACACAAAGGGCGGATTCATCATGAGAGGGAAGCTCTGAGAGAAACAGGGAAGGAGAGAGTTCTCTGTGGAAGAGACAGTTATAGGAGGATAAAGAGCCCCATATGCCTATTTCTACCAGGTAGAGACAACCTTACTTGGAGCTTAAAAATGAAATCAAGTCTGGATTACTTTAGGCTAGTGGCATCTACAAAACAATGGTTTGGAGAATAACCATTACTTGCTTTTCCTGGGGAAATCAAGAGACTTGGTCTATTAATTCTGGGAGGTAAGTTAAGTGAACTCCCATTAACTCCAGGTAGGGAGAGAGCTGCACTCTGGACATTTTACAGTTTTGCCCATTGCTGACTTCCCAGGATCTTTTTATTTTTTTAAAGATTTTATTTTTAAGTCCTCTCTACACTCAACGTGGGGCTTGAACTCACAACCCCAAGATCAAGAGTCCTATGCTCCACTGACTGAGCCAGCCAGGCGCCCCTCCCACGATCTTTTAATGATGTCATCATATCCTCATCCCCTCAGGCAAGGCTCTGCCGGTTTCTCACTCTCACCTCCTGGATCTAATCAGCTACTAAATCCTAGCTTCTCTATGTTTTCTCATGGATCCTTTACTTTTCAAGCCCTCAATTTCACGGTGGTACCGACCTTTATCACCTCACCTTTGAACTACACCAATAACACCAGGCGAATGCTGGAGTCACAAGCATCCTCTCTCCTAATGTCCCTGTATGCAGTCTCTTTCAGCAGCCTAAGGGAAAACCGTCAGCTCTAGCACTACCTGTGAGCTGATATTCAAGGCTTTCCTCAGTTGGGGCCCAACCTGCCTTCCACGTCCATAGTCAGAGAAATATTATTTAACTTGTTTGGCTTTTGGTGGATACTCACATGCTGAGTCCCATCCTGGGATATGAGTGTAACTTGCTGACTCAGCCCAGACTGGGTTACCGTGGCTACTTGTGTAGATACAACATCGTCCCCTTCCACACCTGTAACATACGTGATCTGGGACCCTTTAAGAACATCTTCACTTTGACCTATTTAAAACAAATGAATCATTTATTTGACCAACCAATCAAGCTGTTTAGAAAACAGAGGATATATTTTCTTTTTTTTAATCACTTTGAATATTTATTTATTTTTTTCCCAAATTTTTATTTTAATTCCAGGATAGTTAACATACAGTGTAATATTAGTTTCAGGTGTACAATATAGAGATTCATCACTTCCATACATCACCTGGTGCTCATCACAATACTCTTTAATCCCGATCACCTATTTCTTTTTTTTTTTTTAAAGATTTTATTTATTTATTTGAGAGAGAGAGAATGAGAGACAGAGAGCACGAGAGGGAGGAGGGTCAGAGGGAGAAGCAGACTCCCCGCCGAGCAGGGAGCCCGATGCGGGACCCGATCCCGGGACTCCAGGATCATGACCTGAGCCGAAGGCAGTCGCCCAACCAACTGAGCCACCCAGGCGCCCCCGATCACCTATTTCACCCATCCCCTCCCGCCTACCTCCCTTCTGGTAACCATCAATTTGCTAGGCATAGTTAAGAGTCTGTTTCTTGGTTTGTCTCTCTTTTTTTCCCTTTGCTCCTTTGTTTTGTTTCTTAAATTCCACATGAGTGAAATCATATGGTATTTGTCTTTTTCTGACTTATTTCACTTAGCATAATACTTTCTGCCTCCATCCATGTCGTTGCAAATGGCAAGATTTCATTCCTTTTTATAGCTGAATAACATTCCATCGTGTGTGTGTGTGTGTGTACATTTTCTTTATCCATTCATCTATCAGTGGACACTTGGGCTGCTTCCATACCTTGGTTATTGTAAATAATGCTGCTATAAACATAAGGGTGAATGTATCCTTTTGAATTAGTATTTTTGTATTCTTTTTTTAAAAGATTTTATTTATTTATTTAAGAGAGAGAGCATAAGCGGGAGGGGCAGAGGGAAGGAGACAGAAAGAATCTCAAGCAGACTCTGCACTGAGCATGGAGCCCGATGCGGGGCTCAGTCTTACAACCCTGAGATCACGACCTGAGCTGAAACCAAGAGTCAGACACTCAACCAACAGAGCCGCCCAGGCGCCCCTTGTGTTTTTGTATTTTTTAGGTAAATACCCAGTAATTCGATTACTGGATCATAGGGTAGTTCTATTTTTAACTTTTTTGAGGAACCTCCATACTGTTTTCCACAGTATCTACATCAGTTTGCATTCCCACCAACAGTGAACACGGGTTCTTTTCTCTCCATGTCCTCACCAACACCTGTGTGATTTTAGCCATTCCGACAGGTGTGAGGTGATGTCACAGTGTAGTTCTGATTTGTATTTCGAAAAGAGAATATTTTAAGTATGACCGAAATACTTGTATAGATTAAAGTGTATATGTATTATATTCCAAATCATAAAAATGGCTTCCAGCACCTCCTTCCGATTCTTCCACCTCCACTTTTATAAAGCCAAACCAAACCAAACCTTTCCACATCAAATTTAAATGTTCTAATTTTGAGGGCTCCCGGGTGGCTCAGTGGGTAAAGCGTCAGACTTCTGCTCGAGTCATGATTGGTCCTGGGATCCGCCCCGCGGTGGGCTCCCTGCTCAGCGGGGAGTCTGCTTCTCCCTCTCCCTCTATCCCTCCCCCTGCTCATGCTCTCTCTTTCTCCCTCTCAAATAAATAAATAAAATCTTAAAAAAAAAAGTTCTAATTTTAGGCGACCCCTTTTATTCTTAATTGGAGTCATTATGTGATACTGTGCATGTGTGCTGGGGCATGGTGGGGAGGTACTGGACAGGAAGACTGCCTGGCAAATAACCCTTCCAACATGGCAAGTATGCATGAAGTTCTTGCAGTCACTTAAGAAGCTGTTAAAAATGATAAGACAATCTTCATAAACATTAACCACAAAACCAGAATGGTGTGTAAACAGAACCTACTTCTAATACTAAATTACTTACTCTTTAACACAAGTGATTGATTGCAAGTCATCAGTACACAATGACCACATTGTGTAAAGACAACGTAATGGCGTATTATCTGGGGTAAGGTTAATCATTTAATAAGGGACAGAACAGGAACCACCATCCACTTCTTTATTTCATAAAGAACCAGCAAGTAAACAGCACTTTCAACAGTCCATTACTGCTATACTTGGCAACCAGGAAGCCTGCTGTTCCCTCTCTTCTATTGCTTTCCACCTCCCACAAAGCCAGAAAGAGGGTAAATATGGGGGTTTTCTTCCTTCAAGGAAGGACTTATGCTAATTTAGGAGTACTTCTCCAAGTTAGTGGCTGACGCACGCACGCATACGGCTCTGGCCATGGTGGTGTAATCTCCACGGCGGCCATTACTTCACGTCTGTCTGTTCTGTGTCACAGCCATTTAGATACTATTATCCCAAAGGGCTACAGAACCTCGAGAATCATAGGAGAGGAAAGGATCGCAAACCCATCCCTATTCTTAGAAAAACAATCATAGTTTATTATTTTTTTTTAACAAAATGTGCATTATCATATTACAGACTATTTTCTAGAATACAAGAAATTCAGACAATCTGAAAGATCGACTTTGAAGGAAGAGACTGAAGAAGCTTAAAAAAAGAATTTTAAAACCTGAGCTTGTCATCATTAAAGCCTGTTTAGAAAAAACAAAACAAAACAAAAACAAAACAAAGCCTGCTTCCTAACTGCAAGGACCCAGCAGTTGCAGGAATATCTGACTGTCCGCACTCAGGGTGCTTCGCCAAAAAACACAGCATCCAGGACGGAAGGAGCTGTTACTTCTATCACATGACAGACGTCTGAAAAGACAAATGAGAACTGTAGCAGGTAGTGAATGATGTACTCTTTCCCTTATTTTCCAACCAACTTTTTTCACCTAAAGGTTTTTCAACACTTCAACTTAAGAAGGGGAAAATAGGATTTCTTTTCATTTTCAAATCTACTTCCGTTTAGGAGGTCCTCGGTGCAAGAGCAGGACAACCTGGGTTTTGTTTTGTTTTTTTAGAAAACCTTCACCTACTTTACCGACTTACCTACGTTATTTAACTGAAATCACAGAATGTAATCCTCTAACATTTTTTCCCAAGAGTTTATTCTTATCGAAATGAATGTTTTTGTCTCCTATACTACTGAACAGCACATGAATCAGCGAAGAGTTATTTAGGAGTGCCAAACCGCTCTAATGCTTACAATCAACATCCTTAGTGCACCCAAATAGCCCAGCTGCTCCTCCCTTGCTCTCTGGCTCCATTTCACACCGCCATCCCAAGCAGAAGTGCCCCACTGGCCAGATTTCTTTTAGCCTCTCCAATTTACTTTGCTCTCTCCAACCTCAGGGCTTTCTGTATGTGCCCTTCCCTCCACTTGAATGTCCTCTTGACTTTGCTCCTTATTTCCCCTTCCTGCCGAATCCCTCCCTCTCCACCAAATTAACCCCTATCCACCCTCTACCATCTCTCCTAGTAGCTGTTACTTTAACTTATTTAAGAAGTGTGTCTCGTTAACCTGTAATGAACTTTACAAAACCAGAAAGCTCACATGGCTTGTGCAAGAGATTTATTGCAACTCTTTGCCTTTGCATTCTATTATACCTAGAGATCACTTTATTAAGCAGCACAAGAATTCACATCACTCAAACTCAGCTCAAAGCAAGGCGGAGACTGCGGGTCCCTCCTCTGCTTCCCAGCATGTCAGACTCCTCTGCTCCTACCACTCGGACCACTGGCACTTGAAATAAGCTTGATCTCAAAGTTGGCAGGTTCCAGGGCTTCTTTAGTGACAATTACAGCTTTCCTTGCCGAACAGAAGCCACAGTCAAGAGCGAAAACCCTCCAGCATATAGGTAAGTGCAACCAGGTCTGACAGAAGAAAAACTGCAATTCGAGCTGCGTGTCCTAAATCCACTTTATTGCCATCCTTCTGTTTAACAAGTGGAGAACTAAACAGGGAAAAAAACAAAAAAACACCTCCCAGACTAGACTAACTTCCCTTCTTAGACATCCCAGAGCACCAAGTCCCTTTCTTTGATAGCACTTATTACAGTTGTAAATTCTGTATCTGTGTGATTACGTGAATGAAACTTTGTTATCTGAGAAAATGCTATGAATCACAAATTATGACAGCTGTTGATTCCCCAACACAGAGAGAGGTTTACTGGAAAGAACACTCACCTGGGGGAGGCTCAAAGAAGGCTTCCTGCTCCTCCTCAATGGGCTCAGTGTCATTGTGGGCCGTCCGTTTGTGCATGGCCAGTGTGGAGATCTGCTTGTAGGTCTTCCCACAGTGGTTACAGTTATATGGTTTGGAATGAGTGTGAACAACATGATGTTTGTACAAACTGGAATATTCTGTAAACCTTTTGTCACACCCAGGGACTGTACAAACATATGGCTTTTCACCTAAGTAAAGAACACACACACACACACAAATCAGCTTTTACATATGAAGGCATAATCATTCCATTCCTCCCATGGGGGAAAAAAGCCTCTAATAGCAAAAATAGATAGTTGTCAGATCTCTTTCTATATCGCCATGAGGCAGAACACAAGAAAAGACTCCCCTAACTATGGTTTTGTCTTGGCTCAGAAGGTAGTCTGCATTCTGAGTCTTATCTGAGTGCCTGAATACCACTTTTCCCTTAATTTCAAGGGACGAGAAAAGGATGAAGATGTTGCCCAGTTTAACTCTAAGCTTTGATAAAACTCATTTATTGTTAACTACAACTAGACAAGCTAGATATTAATAACAGTATACTAAAAATAATAAATGCAATTATTACTATAACAAATACAGCTTTCCCTAAGGGTTTTATAAGGACAATAAAAAAGGATTGTCTAAAAAGTCTACTAGACATGGTCTGGACACTTACAAATCTAAAAGGACATACCCATATAATTTCTAAAATGTGCATATGCATGTGTGCATACACGTGCATGTCTTACTTTATTCTCATTTTGCACCCTTCCTTGAGTAATCACATTTTCTTGCATGGTTCTAAACACTGTAAAACCACCCATAAATAGTAAAATCTCACCCTAATGTAATCTGTAACATAAGTCTTGAGCATAAAGTAATTGGAAATTGCTTCCTTCCTCTGCCCAGTCTACATTCTCAAAGCAGGGCAGGTTAATGTTCTTATTTTGGTAAATGACTGTGGGACAGACCTGGTGAGGGCAAGGCCAGGCAGGGAAATGGCAGGCAATTCCAACAGAAAACCTGCCCCATTGATATTTAGGCTGAAGCAGAAACAGCCACTAGGTGGCACCAAACCACAGTCAAGACAGAAGTGGATTTGAATTGAGCTTTGGAGCTCCCTACCGGCTATCTGCACAGCCTCAACTGGGTCCTCTAATCAAACTTGCAAGAATGGATTGCATTTTACATGGCTGAATATTTGCACTCCACTCATAGCATAATGTGGGCATTTACTGTATCATCTACTTGATGATCATTAGCCAATCTTTTCTTCCAGTCCAGACCTACCTCTTGGGTCAGACCAAAAATTGTAACTATGTACTGCATCTCTCTACTTCAATGATTCTCAATCATGTAAAAGACCCGGGTGGGTGGGTTATTTCTTTATATATTTTTACACACACACACACACACACACACACGGAGCTTTTTAAAGATAACCGATGCCTGGGCCTCATTCCATAAAATTATGTCAGAATTGTGCAGACAGAATATGGGGAATAAGCCTATTTTTAAAAAGTGAATCCAATGTGCATCACATTTAAGAGCACTGCTTTATTTAAATGTTCCAAAGATCAGTATGGCTAAATTTAATGTAGGCATCCCTCTTACTGGAATCTAATTTGCCCATTAAACATGTGGAACAGTAAACTTTTAGGTAATGAGTCTATATTCCACTTGCTTTAAATGGGAAAAATAATGTTTTCCCAGCCCATCTAAAAATCCCAGCCAATGGGCGCCTGGGTGGCTCAGTTGGTTAAGCGTCTGCCTTCGGCTCAGGTCATGATCCCAGGGTCCCTGCTCAGTGGGCGGGGAGTCTGCCTCTCCCTCTCCCTAGGCCTGTCTCCCCCCGCTTGTGCACTCTCTCTCTCTCTGAAATAAATAAAATCTTTTAAAAATAAAAGAATAAAAAACCCAGCCAATTTCCCCAAATATCAAAGGCTCTTAAGCACTGTGTTATAATCCACCAAGACTGTCTACATAATATGAAGCACTTCAAACACCAATTATCTAATTATTTAACATTCAGTAGTGGGTATACATTGGTGTGTAATACACAATGATACAGTATAATATCAGACAGGAATTCTGTTTTCCTTCTACACCACAAACGTACTACAATCTAAAAATCAAGTATCTTAAAGATATAAAAGAAGTACAAATTATATTAGGAAAATATAATTTTTCTTCTAATCTATGGTTTTCTTTTCCAGGCCTCCTAGGTTTTCACAGGCATTTCCATTTTCTTAGAGAACACTTTAATAGTAGGGAACATGATGGCAATAATGCATATTACACAATGTAAGCATAAGATACGACTGTATCAGAAACATGACTTCAGCGTGTCCTATGTTCTCTCACTCAGACTCACATGCAACTTAAAAATTTTTTCTTTTATAGAAAAATGCATCACATGGGGTGCCTGGGTGGCTCAGGCGTTAAGCGTCTGCCTTCAGCTCAGGTCATGATCCCAGGGTCCTGGGATCGAGCCCCGCATCGGGCTCCCCGCTCTGCGGGAAGCCTGCTTCTCCCTCTCCCACTCCCCCTGCTTGTGTTCCCTCTCTCGCTGTGTCTCTTTCTGTCAAATAAATAAATAAAATCTTTAAAAAAAAATGCATCACAAGTAGATTCATTATAGTGGGTTTTCAGTTTGGATCATAAATTTTGGGTAAAAATTTTGCAAATCATTACAGCAAATATACAGATGGTAAGAGTTCAAGTGGGGAAGGATACCCAGAGACCTAAAGATTCCAAACTGACAGCGTTATCTTCCCTTTCCAACCTGCTCTCCCCCATTTAACGATTATCATCTAACCCATCACACAAACTAGACTGATAGGTTTTTCTTTACACCTCATGACTAACTTAGTCAGTCCCCAAGTCCTGTGCCAATACCTCTTCAATGTCTTTTTTTTTTTTATCATTTTATTTTATTTTTTATTTTTTTTTATTCTTATGTTAATCCCCATACATTACATCATTAGTTCTAGATGAAGTGTTCCTTCAATGTCTTTTCATTTGTATCCTCTATCTCACTCACTTTGAACATTCTAACAGCCCTCAGTTTCCTCACCATTGGTCTCATTTCCCTTTAACATCTTTCTATAATATGGACTGATTTTTTCCTTAAAAAAAAAAAAAAAGTAAACGTTTGGATGTCTGGGTGGCTCAGTCAGTTAAGTGTCTGCCTTCGGCTCAGGTCATAATCCCAGGGTCCTGGGATTGAAACCTGCATAGGGATCCCTGCTCAGCAGGGAGCCTGCTTCTCCCTCCCATCCCCCACCCCAGCTTGTGCTCTCTCTCTCACTCTCTCAAATAAATAAAATCTTAAAAAAAAAAAAAAGCAAACATTCTTTAAATCCTCTTAAGGTTTCTTCTCTGCCCATAGTGATATTCAGATTCGTTAATGTACTCTCTTCAAAGGGAAGGAGTTGTTGTGGATCCCTGAAAAGATTTCCAGAGATACTCAGGGATCCGAGGAATGCAGCCAGAGAAACAATGCAGCCAGAGAAACACTGCAGAAAGTTCCATTCTGTAAAAATGTCTTTTAATTTTAAATTATTGCAAAGTTACTCTTAATACCAGTAATCAAGACAATGTATTAAACAACTTCTTAAAAAACGAATGCACATTCTGCCTTTGCCTCCCATTTGCCTTTCCCCTCCCAACGACTAAAAGTACATTCACAAAGTGAGGCATCAAAATTAAAAACCTTTGTACTGCAAATGGTACCATCAAGGAAGTGAAAAGACAACCCACAAAGTGGGAGAAAATATCTGTAAATCATATATCTGATAAGGGACTTGTATCCAGAATATAATAAAGTATTTTTACAACTCAACAATAAAAAGAACCAAATCTGAAAAATGGGCAAAGGATCTGAGTAGACATTTCCCCAAAGAAGACCTACATATGGTCAATAAGCACAGAAAAAGATGCTCAACATCTTTAGGATGCAGGAAAATGCAAATCAAAAGCACAATGAGATAGATACCATTTCACACCTGCTAGGATGGCTATCATCAAAAAGCTAATAATTGTTAGCTGCATTGTGGAGAACTGGAACCCTCATACATTGCTGGAGAGACTGTAAAATGGTGCGGCCACTGTGAAAAAAACAGTTTGGCAGTTCCTCAGAATGTTAAACACAGAGTTACCATATGAACCAGCAATTCCACTCCTAAGTATACACCCAAGAGAAATGAAAACATAATTCCACACAAAAACTTGCACATGAATGCTCAGAGCAGCATGATTCATAACAGCCAAAGTGAAAGCCACTGGTGAATGGATAAATAAAATGTGGTATATGCATATAATGGAATACTATTCAGTAATTAAAAGGAAAGAACTCGAGCCTCAAAACACTACGCGAAGTGAAAGAAGCCAGATGAAAAACACCCTATGTTACATGATTCCATGTGTATGAAATGTCCAGAATGGGCAAATCCATAAGGACAGAATGATGATTGCGAAGGGCTGAGGGGTGGGGGTGGGAGGAGACTGCTAATAAGTATGGAGTTTTTTTTTTTTTTTTTTTTTAAGATTTTATTTATTTATTTTTTAGAAAGCGAGCGAGCGAGAAACAGCATGAGAGGGGAGAGGGTCAGAGGGAGAAGCAGGCTCCCCGCCGAGCCGGGAGCCCGATGCGGGACTCGATCCCAGGACCCTGGGATCATGACCTGAGCCGAAGGCAGACGCCCAACCATCTGAGCCACCCAGGCGCCCAAGTATGGAGTTTCTTTTAGGTGGAATGAAAATGCTCTAAAATTGGATCATGCTCATGGTCGTACAACTGTGTGAATATATTAAATAACAGTGAATCATATACTTTAATGAATTTATTCATTTTTACTGAAGTATAGTTGGCACACAATGAATCATATATTTTAAATGGATGAATTATACAGTATGTGAATTATATCTCAATAAAGCTGTTTTTTAAAAAAGAATATAGCCACAGACCGCCCCTCCCCCTCTGCCCCACAAACAGCACAAAAGCCCAGTTTAAGAAACACCCTTACCATGATAGTGCAGACACAAGGCCCCTGCCTACCCCTCCAACTTCACTTCGTACTAGTCTTCCACACGTGCCCTATGCCTGCCATATTCTCCAAATAAATCGTGTTTTTCATACCTTTGTGCCTTTAACCACGCCGTTTCCCCAGTCAGGAATAACCTGCCCCCCGCCTTCTAGCTAGCAAACTTTAGGACTCAGTCTAAAAGCCAACTTCCTCTGGACAGCCTTCCCTGAATGCTTCTCCCTTTCCACAGAGGTGGTTGCTCCCCTCTCTACTCCCACAGCATCTCGTTCAAGGAATGGGAGACACTCTGCACTCCGTAGCAATTAGAGGTCTGTCAACTCTCCCCAGTTCAACTGCCCTTGACCATGTCATATCTGTCTCTGTATGTCTGATGCCTGGCAGGGGAGCACACAACAGATGTTCAGTAACTGTTGAATAAATGAATGTATAAATGCTAATGTGAAGGGTTTTTTAAGTTGCTTAATCCCCCTCCACCAGGCTAAGTGGTAGAAGGAGGATGGGAATGACTGGAAAAAGGTTTATGGAAGAAAAACAGAAGACAAAGAAATCAGAGACTGTTACCTGTGTGTATCCTCACGTGATTTTTATAATTGGTTGCACTGGCAAATGCCCTCCCACATCCTGGTTCTGTGCAGTAATACGGTCTTTCTCCTGTATGTGTCCTAATATGCACTTTTCTGATATTTGATGTTGTAAAAGACCGACCGCAGCCTTCAAAGGGACATTTAAAAGGCCTTTCTCCTGAAAATACAAAAAGGAATAAATTAAATGGTGCAAAAATACTTGGAAAATGGAAAAAAATTTTTTAAAGATTTTATTTATTTATTTGAGAGAGAGAGAGAGAGAGCATGAGCAGGGGGAGGGGTTGAGGGAGAGGGAGAAGCAGGCTCCCCACTGAGTAGGGAGCCCGATGCGAGACTAGATCCCAGGACCCTGGGATCATGACCTGAGCTGAAGGCAGATGCTTAACCAACTGAGCCACCCAGGCACCCTGAAAACTGAAATGTCTTATCCTTCAATTCTGTCTAGGATCATGCTCAAGACTCTAGCCTTCCCGTATGGGGCTTCCCTTTCAGGGTTTTGGCTTTCTGTGGTTTTTTGCCCTGTAAATAGCGTCTTCTATTCCAAATTTAAATTTCTATAGGAAATCTGAATATTGTTCAAAACTTATCACTGACTGCATGACTTTCCAAGATGGAGTTATCCAGATGGGCATATTAAAAAATGAGCTAAGAAGGACGCCTGGGTGGCTCAGTTGTTAAGCCTCTGCCTTCGGCTCAGGTCGTGATCCCAGGGTCCTGGGATCGAGCCCCGCTTTGGGCTCCCTGCTCAGCCGGGAAGCTTGCTTCTCCCTTTCCCACTCCCCCTGCTTGTGTTCCCTCTCCCGCTGTGTCTCTGTCAAATAAATAAATAAAATCTTAAAAAAAAAAAAAAGAGCTGAGAAAAGCAGAGAAAAAAATATCATAAAGAAATACAAAAGAAAAATGAGTCAAGAATAAGAATTACAGGGATGCCTGGGTGGCTCAGTTGGTTAAGCATCTGCCTTCGGCTCGGGTCATGATCCCAGGGTCCTGGGATGGAGTCCCACATGGGCTCCTTGCTCAGTGGGGAGCCTGCTTCTCCCTCTGCCTGCCACTCCCCCTGCTTATGCATGCGTACTTGTTCTCTCTCTCGCTCTCTCTTTCTCTGACAAATAAATAAAATCTTTAAAAAAATTTTTTAAAAGAATAAGAATTATATTTGAACAATAAAAAATAAAAATTAAATTAAAAATTGATAAATGGCTGGGGCGCCTGGGTGGCTCAGTTGTTAAGTGTCTGCCTTCAGCTCGGGTCATGGTCCCAGGGCCCTGGGATCGAGCCCCGTTTCAGGCTCCCTGCTCGGAGGGGAGTCTGCTTCTCCCTCTCTCTCTGCCCCTCCCCCTCTCTTGTGTGCTTTCTCTCTCAAATAAATAAATCTTTAAAACAAAACAAAAATTGATAAATGGGAAAAAAATTAATTATATCTGAACAACCCCAGAATCCCCCAAAAGCTTATCTCCTAACTTTATTTATTCTATAATACCTTGAAAAAAATTTTTAAAAAATCTGGTGTCTAGGGCGCCTGGGTGGCTCAGTTGGTTAAGCGACTGCCTTCAGCTCAGGTCATGATCCCAGGGTCCTGGGATCGAGTCCC